ACTAGTCGATCCTGGGTAGAAGTTCTGGAGCTGCCACAGCTCAGGGTGATGGCTTCATGTCACACTGGACCACATCCCTCCTTGGCTCCACATCCTCCTGTGGCTCCTACCTCACTTGGAGTAAAAGTCAGTCTTCTGCATGGCTCACAAGGTCTTCCACGATGTGCCCCATCGCCCCTCCAACATCATCTCTTGCCCCTCTCCTCTCTCACTGACCTCCTTGCTATTCCTTAAATATTCCAAGCTTGCTCCTACCTCAATGACTTTGCTTTTGCTGTTCTCTCTGCCTAGCATGCTCTTCCCCCAGAGGGCTGTCATTCTTTCTTTCTCTCTCTCTTTTTTTTTTTTGAGATAGAATCTGACTCTGTCGCCCAGGCTGGAGTGCAATGGTGCCATCTCAGTTCACTGCAACCTCTGCTTCCCAGGTTCAAGCGATTCTCCTGCCTCCGCCTCCCGAATAGCTGGGATTATAGGTGTCTGCCACTATGCCTGGCTAATTTTTTTGTATTTTTAGTAGAGACGGGGTTTCACCATATTAGTCAGGCTGGTCTCGAACTCCTGACCTCAGGTGATCCACCGGCCTTGGCCTCCCAAAGTGCTGGCATTATAGGCATGAGCCACCATGCCCAGCCGTTTTCTTTTGTTGTTTATTTTTGAGACAGTCTCCCTCTGTTGCCCAGGCTGGAGTGTAGTGGCAAAATCATGGCTCACTGCAGCCTCAAACTCCCAGGCTCAAGCGATCCCCCCACCTCTCAGCCTCCCACATAGCTGAGACCACAGGTGCACACCACCATACCTGCTTAGTTTTTGTAGAGATGGGGTTTCGCTATGTTGCCCAGGCTGACTGCAAACTCCTGAGCTCCAGTGATCCGCCTTCCTCAGCCTCCCAAAGTGCCGTGATCACAGGCATCGGCCACCGTGCCCAGCCCCACTCTTTCTCTTCTCCTCAAGTCTTTGGTTCAAATGTCACCTTCTCAGAAAGCTTTCCTTGACCACCCTATTTAAAATTACAACCTTGACCCCACATTCCCCATGCCCCTTCTAATACATCCAATAATCTACTTTCCTATTTACCTATTGCCTCTTACCCTTACTAGAGTTTAGGACACTCTATAAGGCCAGATTTTTTTTTTTTTGGAGACAGGGTCTCACTTTGTCACCCAGGCCGGAGTGCAGTGGTGCGATCTCAACTCACTGCAGCCTCCGCCTGCCGGGTTCAAGCAATTCTAACCTCAGCCTCCCAAGTTGCTCGGATTATAAGGGTGCGCCACCATGCCTGGGTAATTTTGCATTTTTAATAGAGATGGGGTTTCACCATGTTGTCCAGGCTGGTCTCAAACTCCTGACCTCAGGTGATCCACCTGCTTCGGCCTCCTAAAGTGCTTGGATTACAGGTGTGAGCCACTGCGCCCGGCCAAGATATTTTTGTCTGTACTGTTCATTGAGGTGTCCCCAATGCCTAGCAGTGTTGAGCACATAGACAGCACATGCTTAAGAATTATGTGCAGAATGATTAATTTGTGTTTTCATTCCCATATTGCAGATGCAGTAACCGAGGCGCAGGGAGGTTAAGCCAGTTGCCCAAGATCATGTAGTTCTTTTTTGTTTTTTGTTTTTGTTTTGAGACGGAGTCTCGCTCTTGCTGCCCAGGCTAGAGTGCAATGGCGCGATCTCGGCTCACTGCAACCTCTGCCTCCCAGGTTCAAGTGATTCTCCTGTCTCAGTCTCCCAAGTAGCTGGGATTACAGGCATGTGCCACCAAGCCCGGCTAATTTTGTTTTTGTTTTGTTTTGTTTTTTTTTTTTTGAGACAGAGTCTTGCTCTGTCACTCAGGTTAGAGTGCAGAGGCACGATCTCGGCTCACTGCCAGCTCCACCTCCTGGGTTCACGCCATTCTCCTGCCTCAGCCTCCCCAAGTAGCTGGGACTACAGGCGCCCGCCACCATGCCCGGCTAATTTTTTGTATTTTTAGTAGAGACGGGGTTTCACCGTGTTAGCCAGGATGGTCTCGATCTCTTGACCTTGTGATCCGCCTGCCTTGGCCTCCCAAAGTGCTGGGATTACAGGTATGAGCCACTGTGCCCTGCCACTTTTTTTTTTTTTTTTGAGACGGAGTCTCGCTCAGTCATCCTGGCCAGAGTGTAGTGGCGCGATCTCGGCTCCCTGCAACCTCCACCTCCTGGGTTCTGGTGATTCTCCTGCCTCAGCCTCCCAAGAAGCTGGGACTATAGGTGAGTGTCACCATGCCCGGCTAATTTTTGATTTTTAGTAGAGATGGTATTTCACCACGTTGGCCAGGCTGGTCTCAAACTCCTAGCCTCAAATGATCTGCCTGCCTTGGCCTCCCAAAGTGTTGGGATTACAAGTGTGAGCAATCACGTCTGGCTTTTCCTTTTTTTTTTGTAGAGATGGGGTTTTGCTGTGTTGCCCAGGCAGGTCTTGAACTCACAACCTCAAGCAGTCCTCCCATCTTGACCTTCCAAAGTTTTGGGATTACAAGTGTGAGCCAATCACTGTACCCAACCACTTTAATGTTTTTTTAGAGATGGTGTCTCACTCTGTCACCCAAGTTGGAGTGCAGTAGCACAATCATAGCTCACTGCAGCCTCAAACTCCTGGGCTTAGTGATCCTCCCACCTCAGCCTCCTGAGTAGCTGCGACTACAGGTGCACATCACTGTGTCCATTTAATTAAAAAAAAAATTTTTTTTTTGTAGAGATGGGGTCTTGCTATTTGCCCAGGCAGGTCTGTTTTTGTATTGTTTTGTTTTTTGCTTCATTTTTCTTTTTTTGGAGACAGTCTCGCTCTGTTGCCCAGTCTGGAAGGCAGTAGGGCGATCTCAGCTCACTGCAGCCTCCACCTCCAGGCTTCAAGGGATTCTCCTGCCTCAGCTTCCCGAGTAGCTAGCTGGGAGTACAGGCATGTGCCATCACATCTGTCTAATTTTTTTTTTTTTTTTTTTTTTTTTAGTTGAAATGGGGTTTTACCCTGTTGGCCAGGCTGGTCTCAAACCCCTTGCCTCAAGTGATCCGTCTGTCTTGGCCTCCCAAAATGCTGGCATTACAGGCAAGAGCCACCTCGTCCGGCCTAGGACTGATGAGGTGTGACTTCAATGTGGGAGAAACAGGCTTCATCTCTCCATAGTCCTAATTCTAAAAGCCCAGGGAATTCTGGGCCTAAGTTACCTACAGTCTCCCCCTCACCAAGCCCTCCTCAACCCTCACAGCACCAGCTAAATGCTTTCATTTTTGGGAGTGGAGGAATTCACTCAATCCCATAAGAGAACGAGATAGGGATTAAGTATTTACAGAAGCAAGGTTCGCAATGGCCAATGGGCCACTGCCACAGGTGTGGTGACGTGGCAGAGGTGAGGGTAACATGGAGACTGTGAGGTGGTGTGGCTGCTGTGGCAGAGTATCTGTCCTGATACGAGGTCCATGATGACACCCCGGGAATGATGAGGGCAGCTGGGGAGAGGGGGAGAGTGACCATGAGGATATGATGAAGGTGACTGGATGAGGGTGAGGGTGACATGGTTGATTATTATTATTATTGAGACTGAGTTTCGCTCTTGTCGCCCAGGCTGGAGTGCAATGGCGCGATCTCGGCTCACCGCAACCTCCACCTCCCAGGTTCAAGCCATTCTCCTGTCTCAGCCTCTGGAGTAGCTGGGATTATAGGCATGCACCACTACCCCCGGCCAATTTCGTATTTTTAGTAGAGACAGGGTTTCTCCATGTTGATCAGGCTGGTCTCGAACTCCCGACAGCAGGTGATCCGCCCACCTTGGCCTCCCAAAGTGCTGGGATTACAGGCGTGAGCCACTGCACCGGGCGGAGGGTGACATGGTTAATAACAATATTAGCTAAAAACACCATGTCAAGCCCAGCCTGCCACAAGAATAAACTCACAGAATTGTCACACTCAGCCCTGATGTGGATGTCCCCACGTGCATTTTGCAGATGAAGCTGGGATTGGAAAGGTGCCATAAGGTAGTCAAGGTATCCAGAGGTGTAGTGGTGGGGCTGGGATTCTGACACTCCCCAGGTAATGGGCTGCAGTACCCTGTATGTTATGTGAGCTGTGATACAGGGAAATGACGAAGACACGGAGGGAAGAAAAATAACTGTAAGTCTGGGTTGCTCCTTATGGGGAAAGCTGGAAACGTGAGGAATGGATGGTGACTGTCAGAGGAACGGTGATGCCAAGGGAGGGACAAAGACATAAGGGGTAATGATGACATAAGGGCTGCATTAGCGCGATTTAAGAAGAGCGATGGGGACAGTAGCCATGCGAAGGTGACTTGGGGGTATGATGAGGGTTTAAGAGAAATGAGGATTTTATAAAGGAGAAATGGCAACAAAAGCGGGATGCAGGTAACACACGGCGATGACGCATTTAAAGGGAGCGATTACGACCTATGGTGGCAAAGAGGGCTTAAGGGGAAGGAAAGCGAGTTAAGGGCGTTGATGGCGACTTTAAAGAGGGTGATGGCGACAGAAGGGGAGTTGTGACGATTTAAGAGGGATGAGACAGAAAGAGAGGAATGGTGACATAAAGGGACCGAGGACGACATAAGGGAGGCGATGCATTATAGCGGGGAGGACAACACGAGGAGGGTAGCCGAGGCGCCGCGCCCCTAGATCGCACAGTACCTGCACTCCACGTCTCCCACTCCGGCACCCAGCCCCACACGAACCTTCCAGGATGTATCCCCGCCTGACCGCCCCCTAGCCGCGCGCAGGCGCACTACTGCTAGACTGCGGGCCCGCCGGGGCCAGGCATGCGCCTTTCTCATTGGCCGCGCCGCTCTCTGGCGTCGGGCGGAGGAGAGAGCTCGGCGCAAGTGGGAGGTCACGTGACGTATACGCCCGCACTCCTGCTGGTGACGGTGGGCGGTCACGTGACGGTTATGGCCGCACTCTCGCTGGTGGCGGCCTGGTGGGCTAGAGCGGCCGCGGGCGGGTCAGTTCAGCTTCCTGCGGTGAGGGGGTGCTTCCGGGGCGGGCAGCCCGGGCCGGGGGTGGAGTGTCTGACAGTTGGCGCCGCCGGGAGGGAGGGCGGGCGGCGCGAGTGGGCGCGGGCCCGGTGGGCCAGGTGAGGCGCGGGCCGGGGGTGGTGGGACTGGGCCGGTTGCGGTAGGGACGGGTGGCGTCCGGAGCTCTGGACTCAGTTCGGGCTCTGCTGTACGGCTTCGGACGTACGATTTGTTTCTCTGAGCCTCAGTTTCCTCCCCTGTGGAATGGGGGTTAGAATCTGACTGTATCATCGGCTTTATAAATGGGAGTGAGAAGTCAGGTCGTGTACGTTGGATCCCTTAGCTCAGCTCCTCCGCATAACGCTCACTTCGTTACTATACTATTGTTAGTATTGATGTTTGCGCTTAGTATGAAAAATTGTTGGGTTTGGAAGCGGTCGGATTTTGGTTCAAGTCCCGCTCCACTGTGAGGCAGTGGGGCCTGTGTCTTCGCTTCCTTGAACCCCTTTTTTTCTCATCTGTACCGTGAGAGCAGATAGTCCCAGTATCATAGGATCGTCTTGAGGATTCTGACGAAGTGTGTGTGTGTAGAGATTTTAAGCAGAGGGGCTGGCACAGTGAGAGCTCGTGGATTGGGACTATAATGATAATGATTCTGAGAGTCATTGGTGTAGCTGGGAATTCCAGGGAAGTAGGGGGTGAAAGCTCAGAGACAGCAATAGGAAAAACTTAGGACTGGAGCCGAGAAAATCGACATCCTGCCACTTACTATTTGACCAATTTTGCTGAGTCCTGAAGTATTAGTTTTTTTCTTTTTCTTGATCATGACTAGTGCATTTTTCCCCCAGTAAATTAATTTGAGAAGGCAAATTTGCATTGCTGTCTTCTTCTTCTTCTTCTTTTTTGAGACCGAGTTTCTAACTTGTTGCCCAGGCTGGAGTGCGATCTCGCTCACGGCAACCTCTGCCTCCCGGGTTCAAGTGATTCTTCTGCCTCAACCTCCCGAGTAGCTGGGATTTTACAGGCATGCGCCACCACGCCGTGCTAATTTTTTTGTATTTTAGTAGAGATGGGGTTTCTCCATGTTGGTCAGGCTGGTCTCGAACTTCTGACTTCAGGTGATCCGCCCACCTCGGCCTCACAAAGTGCTGGGAGCCACCGTGCCCGGCGCATTGCTGTCTTCAATGAAAAACTAGCATTGCTGGCCATGAGAGGAAAGAAAAGTTCAGATAAAATACAATGGAAACTGAACAGCCTGTTACATTGTACACTGAAATGGAAAGATAATTGAAAAAGGAATACTACGTATTCCCTTTGAATAGGAATACTGTTCAGAACTTGTACTGTGTGATTCCCTGTTGTCAGATCCCATCAACCCCCATCAAGTTGTCCTTATGCTTGTTCCCAGCTCACCCTTTGTATACAACTAGCATTAAGTCAGTGACTGTCCATCCCACTGTTTCCCTAGATCACTGAAGATTTGTTTTATTTTGATGCACACTTAACATCGCACTTACCACCTGCTGTGCATCTTCGTTCTAAGGACTCTGTTTATTAACTCGTTTAATCCCTGTAACACTGTTAAGAATGGGTCCTTGGCTGGGTGCGGTGGCTCACACCTGTAATCCCAGCACTTTGGGAGGCCAAGACGGGCGGATCACGACGTCAGGAGATCGAGACCATCCTGGCTAACACGGTGAAACCCTGTCTCTACTAAAAATACAAAAAATTAGCCGGGCATGGTGGTGGTAATCCCAGCTACTTGGGTGGCCAAGGCAGGAGAATTGCATGAACCTGGGAGGCTGGGGTTGCAGTAAGGCGAGATCACACTGCTGCACTCCAGCCTGGGTGACAGAGTGGGACTCCATCTCAAAAAAAAGACCTTTTTTTAATTTCGAGATGGTGTTTTTTTATTTTTATTTTTTATTATTTATTTTATTTATTTTTGTTTTGAGACAAGGTCTCACTCTGTAGCTCAGGCTGGAGTGCAGTGGTGCGATCTGGGATTACTGCAACCTCTGCCTCCCAGGCTCAAGCAATTCTCCTGCCTCAGCCTCCTGAGTAGCTAGGATTACAGGTGTCCACCACCATGCCTGGCTAATTTTTGTAGAGATGGAGTTTCACTATGTTGGCCAGGCTGGTCTCGAACTCCTGACCTTGTGATCCACCTGCCTTGGCCTCCCAGGGTGCTGGAATTACAGGCATGAGCCACCGTGCTGGCCAGGAATGGGTACTCTCACTTTTTTTTTTTTTTTTTTGAGATGGAGTCTCACTGTTGCCCAGGCTGGAGTATGGTGGTGCAGTTTCGGCTCACTGTAGCCTCTGGAGTGCAGTGGCGTGATCTCGGCTCACTGCAACCTTCGCCTCCTGGGTTCAAGCGGTTCTCCTGCCTCAGCCTCCCAAGTGGCTGGGACCACAGGCACCTGCCACCACACCCAGCTAATTTTTGTATTTTTAGTAGAGACAGGGTATCACCATATTTCTGGGATTAGCCACCACACCCGGCTAATTTTTTGTATTTTTAGTAGAGGCGGAGTTTCACCATGTTGGCCAGGCTAGTCTCAAACTCCTGACCTTGTAATCCACCCGCCTTGGCCTCCCAAAGCATTGGGATTACAGGCATGAGCCACTGTGCCCAGCCACCTTTCTTGTCTTTTTTTTTTTTTTTTTTTTTGAGGCAGAGTCTCACTCTGTTGCCCATGCTGGAGTGAAGTGGCATACTCTTGACTCACTGCAACCTCTGCCCCGCCTGGGTTGAAGTGATTCTCCCACCTTAGCCTCCCGAGTAGCTGGGATTACAGGCATGCGCTACCATGCCCGGCTAATTTTTGTATTTTTGGTAGAGATGGGCCTTCACCATATTGGCCAGGCCAGGAGGTCAGGTTGGTCTCGAATCCCTGACCTCAGGTGATCCACCCACCTTGGCCTCCCAAAGTGCTGGGATTACAGGCATGAGCCGTTGTGCCCAGCTTTTTTTTTTTTTTTTCCCTTTTTTCAACAGTGACAGGGTCTCACTGTATCGCCCAGGCTGGCCTCAAAATCCTGGGCTCCAGAGATCCTCCTGCTTCGGCCTCCCAAAATGCTAGGACTACAGGTGTCAGTCACCATACCCGGCCTTGCCATTCTTATTGTGCAGTTGAGGAAGTGAGGTCAGAAAGGTTAAGCTACTTGTCCAGAGTCAGGATTAGGATGTGGTAAAATTGGGATTTGGATACAGGTCTCCTAAGGGCTTAGCACATGGAGCCTGGTATGTGGTAATTCCTTGAGTTTTGGGAGCTGCCGTCTTTAAAATGACCATTATTATAATTTTTCTTATTCAGAAAGTCATTGCGGGAGATGGGCTTTTAGGATTGTGGAGAGAGGGAGGAAATTGAATCCAGTAGGATCTGTAGCACTTAGGGAAGAATACCAATATTTAAAGGATTCTGGTTAGCATTAACTGAGACATTGAAAAACAGACTGTAGTACCTGGCTTGTAGTAATCCGTCAATCAGCATGAACCATAGCCATTGGACTGCCTGGGGTCCAAGTCCTGCTGCTGCCTTTACTTGCTGTATGATCTTGAACTCCTAGGCTCAAGGGATCCTCCTGCCCCTAAAGTGCTGGCATGACAGGCCTGAGCCACTGCGCCCAGCCTTTTGCTGTGTGATCTTGGACCTGCCATTCTCATCTGTAACTTGGGACTCATTTTTCCATTTTTCTGAGGGTGGTTGTGAGGAGTCACTGAGATGTGTATATGCTCAGTTCCTGGTGCATAGTAAACACTCAATGGGAGTTACTCCATGGGCATCAGAATCAGGAAGAACTTGTTTTTGAATCCCAGTAAGGTTAGTTGCTAGATGTGCCATTTGACAAATGACTGCACCTCAGTGAGTTGAGGTTTTTCATCCGTAAAAACAGGGCTAATAATAGTCCTCACTCACTGAGCTGTTGGGATGCATCTGCATGATGCTTGGCCCTGGTCCTGATGCATAGTTAGTGCTTGGTTTGTGAGATGTTCTGTCTGACTTACTGAGACCTCTCCGTGCTCTGTTCTTTGAGAGATGCATGTTGTATTTTCTTTTCTTTTTTTTTTTTTTTTGAGGCAGAGCCTTTCTCTGTCACCCAGGCTAGAGTGCAGTGGCGCGATCTCGGCTCCCTGCAACCTCTGCCTCCTGGGTTCAGGCGATTCTCCTGCCTCAGCCTGCGGAGTAGCTGGGATTACAGGCACCCACCATCACGTCCAGCTAATTTTTGTATTTTAGTAGAGATGGGTTTTCACCATGTTGGCCAGGCTGATCTCAAACTCCTGGTCTCAGGTGATCCACCCGCCTCAATCTCCCAAAGTGCTGGGATTACAGGCATGAGCCACTGTGCCTGGCCTGTGTTGTCTTTGGCCAGTGGTAAAATTCAGAAGGGAAATTGGATCTAAGAGTGTTGAATACAGGACAGAGTGATGTCTGTGGTCATACTCATCAATAAGAGATTGAGCAGAAGACCAGGTGCCTGTAATCCCAGCACTTTGGGAAACTGATGTGGGCAGATCACTTGACGTCAGGAGTTCGAGACCAGCCTGACCAACATGGTGAAACCCTGTCTCTACTAAAAATACAAAAATTAGCTGGGTGTGGTGGCGGGTGCCTGTGGTCCCAGCTACTCGGGAGGCTAAGGCTGGAGAACTGCTTGAACCCAGGAGGCGAAGTTTGCAGTGAGCCGAGATCACGCCACTGCACTCCAGCTTGGGCGACAGAGTGAGACTTTGTCTCAAAAAAAAAAAAAAAAAAAAAAAATTGAGCAGAAGCCAGGGAAGGGCAAGATTAACAATGCTGAGGATAGAGAAGAGAGTCTCATATGTGGGGACTTAGGGAAAGGTCACGAAGTAGATGGCAGTGGAGCAGAAGGAAGGAGAGGTTGCCAGGAGGAGACAGGTATTCCAGGCACAGGTGACATCCTCTAAAAACGGGAGGCCGGCAAAGCACCTGTGTGGGGGAGGAGGCCTGGAGGATGAGACCAGGCACAACACCTTCAGGGTGCTTAGTAGGCACCAAGCACTGTCTCAAGTGCTTTTATTCATAGAAACTCATCTAGCTCTTACAGCAGTCCTCTAAGGTAAGTCATATTTGCACCCTCCCAATTCACAAATGGGGACACCATGGCCCGACTGGTGAAGTCACTTGCCGAGATCACACAGCTCATAAGTGGTAGAGCTGGATTTGAACCCTACAGTCTGGTTGCAGAGTTCTTACTTTTGACCACTCCATTATACCATCAAAATCTGTTAGGGGATAGGACAGATTTTATGGGGTTGTGAACAGGAAGGTTCTGGGACAGAGGGCTTCGGCACCTCATGGAGGGGTGAGGGAGGATCAGTACTGGGGGCTGCGATAGATAGAAGGGAGCAGAGTGAGAGGAGAGGGCAGAGGACCCGGGTCAGGGAAGAGGCAGAGGGCTAAGTAGGAAGTTTTGGCCAGGGCAGTGTGGGCCCCGTGATCTTGGAGTCGGATAGCGTTGAATCAGCACATGAAAAAGTTACTTCCTTTAGTTCCCATTCAGCACTGCTTTTAATGGAGATAGTCTCCACTGGTGCTAAAATGTCTTTAACACCACCTTTCTACCATCTGCTAATGTAAGGGAAAATTGGTTTTCCATGTCTTCTCTGGGACGCCTCATGATCAGGTCACCACTTCTGTGACCTGTCTCCTCCCAGTGTCCTCCCTGCTCGCTCCACTGCAGCCATGCTGGCTCCTTGCTTTCCCTCCAGCATGCCAGGTGAGCCACTGGCTCAGGGCGCTGGACTTGCTGTACCTTCCTCTGGAACACTTTTTCTCTGTAAAACCACATGGCTCATTGCTTCCCTCCCTTTAGCTCTCTAAATGTTGCTTTAGGTCTTCCCTGATCACTCTGTTGAAAATTAGAACCACTCCCTTCCCGGGTCCTCCATGTCTTCTCCATGGCACTAAAAGCTTCCTAATGTACTCTACTAACTGTTTGGCTTGTTTACTCTCTGTCTCCCCTGTCGCCTGTACCCAGCTAGCTGCTAAGTTCCATGGCTTTGTTCACCTTGGTATCCCTAAGAGTGCCTTACACATAGTAGGTTCTCAGTGAATAGGGTTTTGGGTTTGTTTGAAGACTAGTCAAGTGCAGTAGTGAGAAAGGGAGAAAGAGTAGAATAAGGAGTTCCATCTGTAAGGGACTATGAACAGTCAATTGAGATAATTCATTACCTTTGGACCAGCCTGTTTTTTTTTTGAGACAGGGTCTTGCCGTGTTGTCCAGGCTGGTTTTGAACTCCTGGCCTCAATTGATCCTCCCATCTTGGCCTCCCAAAGTGCTGGGATTACAGGCATGAGCCAGCATGCTTGGTTGGTATTTATCGTTAAAGTTTTGGCCAGAAGTGTCTTATTTCTGTTGCACTCCTTTTCCAGCCAACCTTTTGGGGTGTGTGGGAATGGAACTGTGGACATTTGCTGTCCCTGGGCCTTGTCTCAGGCACAAGCGATGATGGTGGTGGCAGCTCTGTCCCAGGCTGACTTCCTGCCAGCTGCTCCAGGCTATTCCTGGGCGGTGAGCCTCTAGCCCAGGAACGTTCCTCTGGCATGCAGGCAGACAGGCACAGGAGAGGGACAAACACTCACAGCCGGCAGCAACTCATGGGCCCTCTCCTCTCTTCTCTTTCAGGCTCCAGGGAGCAGTGTCAGGGCCAGGGAGACGATGGTCTCCGTGACTATGGGTGAGTCTGTGGCCTTCTCTCCAGGGCCCCCTCTCCCCACTGCCCTTTTTGAGGTATGGCCTTGGTGGGGGACGAGGGGGTGGGGGAGGGAGGGCTGGGTCATTGGCAGGAACAGCTGTACTCTGAGGACTGTGGCAGGGTGGGGCTGGAACTGCTTGAGGCCTGCCCGCCTCCTTGCCGGATCTCTCTCCTGACTGTATAGTTTAGCTGTGAAGAACGTGGGTTATGAAGTCCAGCAGGTCTCCCACGTGGCCTCACAGAGCCTTGGTTTTCTCAGTGAAATGGAAATGATATTCCCACATCCTGGGATTAAGGAGATTACAGCATGTAAAAGCTTGGGTGTAGTTCTAAACAAACCTTAGATGTTGTTATTATCACAAGCCTTAAGCTCTGTATTTGGGGATTGCTAAGGCACAGATATTAGTTGGTGGCTTTGAAAAATGTTGACATTTATTATAATGTAGAAAAATATATTATATATGTATAATTTTTTGAGATGGAATTTCACTCTTGTTGCCCAGGCTGGAGTACAGTGGCACGATCTCGGCTCACTGCAACCTCCACCTCCCAGATTCAAGCGATTCTCCTGCCTCAGCTTCCCAAATAGCTGGGATTACAGGCGTGTGCCACCACGCCCAGCTAATTTTTGTATTTTTAGTAGAGACAGGGTTTCACCATGTTGGCCAGGCTGGCCTTGAACTCCTGACCTCAGGTGATCTGCCCTCTCTAGCCTACCTAAGTGCTGGGATTACAGGTGTGAGCCATCATGCCTGGCCCATAAAATGTATTTGTATAGTTTTAAGAGTGATTAAGAAGCAAAGTCTGAGTATATCCTTTTTTTTTTTTGAGACAGGCTCACACTTTGTTGCCCATGCTGGAGTGCAGTGGTGTAATCTTGGCTCACTGCACCCTCCGTCTCCCAGGCTCAGGTGATCCTCCCATCTCAGCCTCCTGAGTAGCTGGGACTATAGGGACGCACCATCATGCCCGGCTAATTTTTATATTTTTTGTAGAGATGGGGTTTCGCCATGTTGCCCAGGCTGGTCTTGAATTCCTGTGCTCAAGAGATCCTCCTGCCTCAGCCTCCCAAAGTGCTGGGATTACACAGGTGAGCCACCGCGCCTGGCCTGTATTCCTTTTTTTTTTTGAGACAGAGTCTTGCTCTGTCACCAGGCTGGAGTGCAGTGGCACGATCTTGGCTCAATGCAACCTCTGCCTCCCGGGTTCAAGTGATTCTCCAGCCTCAGCCTCCCAAGTAGCTGGGACTACAGGCACACACCACCACGCCCAACTAATTTTTGTATTTTTATTAGAGACGGGGTTTCATCATGTTGGCTGGGATGGGCTCGATCTCTTGACCTTGTGATCCACCTGCCTCGGCCTCCCAAAGTGCTGGGATTACAGACGGGAGCCACCGTGCCTAGCTGCCTGTATTCTTTATAATTCCATTCATATAAAGCATAGAAGCAGGCAAAATCAGTCTATTTTGTTAGAAGGTGGTGGTTACATCTGGGAAGGAGTGAGTAGAGACTCCAAAGGGAATATAAGGGGTTCTGAGGTGTTAGAAATATCTCGTTTCTTGATTTGGGTGCTGTTTACATAGGTGTATCTGATTTAGGAAGATCTATTGACTTGTGCACTTTTTTTGCATGTACATTATAGTTCCATAAAAAGATTGAAAAATCAAAACCCTGTTACCCATCCAGATCAAAAAAAGAGAACATTGTCAGCCCCATGAGAGTCCTACCCCAATCACACGCCCCTCCCTTCTCCATATGGAATAAACCATTTTGTGAACGTCTTTTCTTGCCTTACCTACCTTTTTTTTTTTTTTTACAATGGAGTTTCGCTTTTGTTGCTTAGGCTGGAATGCAATGGCGTGATCTTGGCTCACTGCAACCTCTGCCTCCTGGGTTCAAGCGATTCTCCTGCCTCAGCCTCCGGATCGAGTAGCTGGGATTACAAGCATGCCCCACCATGCCTCACTAAATTTGTATTTTTAGTAGAGATGGGGTTTCTCTATGATGGTCAGGCTGGTCTCAAACTCCTGACCTCAGGTGATCCACCTGCCTCGGCCTCCCGAAGTGCTGGGATTACAGGTGTAAGCCACCGCTCCTGGCCTTCCTTGCCTTTATTTTTGTATTATCAATGGGACATTCCTATTCTATAGACTTTGGTTTTGAAATTACATGAATGAAATCATACCTTGTGTTCTTTTGTATCTGGCTTCTTTTGTTCAACATAATGTCTAAGGGTCATCTGTGTTGACTTTCTTTTCACTGCTGTATAGTATTTCACCTTGAGAGTGACCACCATGTGTTTATCAATGCTGCTGTCTGTGGATATTGCATTATTACTGAGTTGGGGCTATCACAGACAAACTACTGTGAATATTCTTGTATGTGTCTCCTGGTGTGTGCAAAAAGCCACATCTCTTTGATTCCAAGACTCACATCATTGCACAATTTAACATTTCTGAAGTAGGGGTATATCTTATTGCCGGTGCCTTATAACAGTTTAGTTGACTGCATGTTTTCCTTCCTTAGCAATACATGAAATGATGGTGTGTGCTGAACGTGGGGACTCTTTCCATTCCTCAAACACTGGGTTTCAGTAATATTTTGGTTAAATTCACAGGCTTTGCCTGGTCCCTGTGAACTGATTGGTCTTTACAACTAATTGATCACAAGCAGTTACAGATTTATTTGTTCCTTCTCCCTTCCCACTGCTTCACTTGACTAACCTTAAAATCAGTCAGTCAATTAATCAATCACAGGCTTTGGCTCAGAGAGCTACCCCCAGCCTACGTGGTACTTTTTTCTCCCCTTAATAACAGCTTAGTTTAGGTATAATTCATTTATCATACGTTTTACCTAGTTAAGGTGTACAATTGGATGGTTTTTATATTCTCTGTTCACAGAGTTGTGCAGCCATCACCATAATCAATTTTAAAACATCTTTATCACTCTCTCTTGAAACTCCATACCTTAGCAGGGTGTTGTGGCTCATGCCAGTAATCCCAGCACTTTGGCAGGCTGAGGCAGGTGAATCGCTTGAGTCCAGGAGTTTAAGACCAGCCTAGGCAACATGATGAAACTCTGTCTCTATAAAAAATATAAAAAATTGCCAGGCACTGTGGCTCACGCCTGTAATCCCAGCACTTTGGGAGGCCGAGGAGTGTGGATCACGAGGTCAGGAGTTTGAGACCAGCCTGACCAACATGGTGAAACCCCGTCTCTACTAAAAATACAAAAATTAACCAGGCATGGTGGCACGTGCCTGTAATCCCAGCTACTTGGGAGGCCGAGGCAGGAGAATCGCTTGAACCCGGAGGTGGAGGTTACAGTGAGCCGAGATTGCGCCTCTGCATTCCAGTCTGGGTGACAGAGTGAAACTCCATCTCAAAATAAAATGTGTGTATATATATGTAACTTGTGTGTGTATATATACAAAAAAATAGCTAGGCCTGGTGGCACACGCCTGTAGTTTAACTACTTGGGAAGCTGAGGTGGGAAGATTGCTTGAGCCCAGGAGGTTGAGACGGCAGTGAGCTATGATTGTGCCACTGCACTCTGGCCTAGGCGACAGAGGGAGACCCTGTCTCAAAAAAATTAAAACCCCATACCCATTAGCAGTCACTTCCCCTGTCCTCCTAGCAACCACTAATCTACTTTCTCTTTAGATTTGTCTGTTCTAGACATTTCATGTACATGGAATCATTATGTGGTGCTTTTTGATAGTTAGAGGTGCATGCTTCTGGCCAGTGGGACCCAGGGCCCTATGGCTTAGCAGGTGGATAGTGCCTGTGCAACATAGGGAAATGGTACCTCTTTCCTGTGGCCTGGCAGAGGCAATCCTAAGGACATGAGCTCCTCGCCAACCTCAGTCCCCAAGGGCCAATCAGCACCCTGGGTACCTGGCCTGTGGCTGGCTGGGCAGGGGCCTCCTTGGAGATGTGACCCATGGGGCTTCACCTGAGCCCTGCACTGCCACTCATGTAACACCTGACCCACAGTGTATCTGTTTCCCTGCTCTGAGTCTCTATTGTCTTAAAAGCAAAATGGGTGAGGTAATAACAGGTTTCTTCTATTCTAAAGTAGCATGGATTGTTGGATGTACTGAGAAAGAAAAACAGTTTGCTAATTAAACCATGGCACACCATCAGTCATGAAGTAGATCCTAGTTTCGGAGATGTCAAAATGTGAAAAAAAAAGTTCTGCTTTGAATCAGTGATCTTAGCTACCTCCTGGCCTGGCCGGCTGGGGTCAGTTTGAGGGTCAAACCCACCAAGAAGCCAAGAAAATTTAGAAAGAAAGTTTCATAGGTGGGGTCTGCCTGGTCTTGGCTGTGGCTCTGTGTTTAGTGGTGATGGGAGTAATAGTAGTAATAATAATAATAATAATAGCTGACATGGTTTGAGGATATCCTCTGGGTTAAGCATCATTTGAAGCCTTTTATATGGAGTTTCTCATTGAGTCTGCACAGTGATCCAAGGACACTGGTGCTGTTATCACTAAAATCTCAGCTACACAAGGGCTGGGACTTCATCTTGTACCTTGTGGTATCCCCAGTGCGTAGGACAGGACCTGTCCTTTGCCAAATGCTGGGTAAACACTTGTCAAATCTGTTATCCCGGGTTTACAGATGAGGAAACCAAGGCACCAAGAGTTAACTTACCCACAGTCCCTCCATAGGGAGATCGCAGGGTTAAGATTCAAACCCAAGCTCCGAAGTCCGTGTTAGTAACTTCTGTGCCTCTCTCTGAGGGGAGGTTTGCTACTGTGGCGGGTAGGGGGCTTGCCAAGGCTCATGGGCTGGCTCTGTGACACTTCTTTCCAATCACCTGTGGATCCTGTCATCCTCTGGGCCTAGGCTGGCTGATAGGGACTAGGGCAGAGAACCCAGAGTCCCAGTTACCCTACATCAGTCATGGGCCCAGCATGTGTAGTGATGCAGAGAGCCAGCCCTGGGGCGGGGTGGAGCTGTAAGGAGAAAGGCTGTGGTAAGGGTTTGGGAGCTCTGCCCCTTGTTTAGCATTGTTGCCCAACCTTTCCCTGCCTCATTTTCCTCGGCAACTCAGGGGAGTCTTAATACTGCTTAACTCACAGGGTCAGGAAGGCTCAGTTCCATCATGTGTGTGTGGAGCACTCCACACAGGGCCTGGCATGGGAGGAGCATTTAATTTGTGGGAGCTGCTGTGATTGGGGTTTTGCTAATGCTATTCTCTAAAGAGGATGGTGTGAATAATGAGCCCTGTCCAACCCCACAGCCACTTCCGAGTGGATCCAGTTCTTTAAGGAAGCCGGCATTCCTCCAGGACCTGCTGTCAATTATGCCGTGATGTTTGTGGATAATAGGTGAGGAGGCTGAACTTGGGGATGGGGTGGTGGGGAGCTGACTGGCCCACCCACTCTGGCCCACCTGGGGCCTTACCACTGACCTTCCCCTGCAGGATTCAGAAGAGCATGCTGCTGGATCTCAATAAGGAGATCATGAATGAGCTGGGCGTGACCGTGGTGGGCGACATCATCGCCATTCTCAAGCATGCCAAAGTGGTGCACCGTCAGGTGGGTGCTGTGCCCAGCCCCTCTGTCTCTGGGTTTGGCATGGAGGTGGAGGTTCAGTTGCAGAGCCAATGGGAGGCCTGGCAGCAGAGGCAGGCCGACCTGGGTTCCAGGGGTGGTTTGGCCATTTGCTGTGTGACACTGGGCACATGGCCCAACCTCTCTGAGCTGTATTTTCTGCATCTGTGAAAGAGAGGCAAACCTGGCCGGGCGCGGTGGCTCATGCCTGTAATCCTAGCACTTTAGGAGGCCGAGGCGGGCGGATCACGAGGTCAGCAGATCAAGACCATCCTGGCTAACACAGTGAAACCCCGTCTCTACTAAAAATACAAAAAATTAGCCAGGCATGGTGGCGGGCACCTGTAGTCCCAGTTACTTGGGAGGCTGAGGGAGGAAAATGGCATGAACCCGGGAGGCAGAGCTTACAGTGAGCTGAGATCGTGCCACTGCACTCCAGCCTGGGCGACAGAGCGAGACTCTGTCTCGAGAGGGAAAAAAAAAAAAAAAGAGAGAGAGACAAACCTATCTTGAAGGGTGGTTGTATTTTTTTTTTTTTTGAAACAGTGTCTTGCCATGTTGCTCAAGCTGGTCTCGAACTCCTGGGCTCAGGCCATCCTCCTGCCTCAGTCTCCCAAAATACTGGGATTTCAGGCATGAGCTACTGCGCCCAGCCCTGATTGTGAGTATTAAGTTATGTGAAGTACTAGCACAGTGGAAACTGCCTGTATTCAGGTCCCTCTATAATAACTTATTGCTGCTTCACGTCTTCTTTGTGATAATTATTATCTCTAGGATAGCAGCTTCCTATGTGGGACCCAGATGGCAGCCTGGCTCACAACCTGGATGTTCCAGTCTTGACCTCTCCGCTTATAGTGACCCACCTTCCTGGATCTCTTTGAAATGGGCTTTTTACACAGCCCTGTTGCTAGTGTGGCTGTGGCCACCTACCAGATAGTATACATGGCCCTGAGCACCAGACCTGGAGTGTTGGACTCATTAAATGATTAATATAATAACTAACACTTACCAAGTACTTGCTGTGGCCTGCCAGGCACTGTCTCCTTCCTTTCCTCCCTCCCTCCCTCCCTCCCTCCCTCCCTCCCTCCCTTCCTTCCTTCCTTCCTTCCTTCCTTCCTTCCTTCCTTCCTCCCTTCCTTCTTTTCTCCCTTCCTCCCTCCCTCCCTCCCTCCCTCCCTTCATTCCTTCCTCCCTCCCTCCCTTCCTCCCTCCCTCCCTTCCTTCACTTGTTTATTATTTATTTTTGAGACAGGGTCTCACTCCATTGCCCAGGCTGGAGTGCAGTGGCACGATCTTGGCTCACTGCAACCTCTGCCTTCCAGGTTCAAGTGATTCTCCCACCTCAGCCTCCTGAGTACCTGGGATTATAGGCGTGTGCCCCTGCGCCTGGCCTCTTTATTTTATTTTATTTTATTGAGACAGAATCCCACCCTGTTGCCTAGGCTGGAGTGTAGTGGTGCTGTCTTGGCTCACTGCAGCCTTTACCTCCCGAGTTCAAGAGATTCTCGTACCTCAGCCACCCGAGTGATTGGGATTACAGGCATGCGCCACCATGCCTAGCTATTTTTTGTAATTTTAGTAGAGATGGGGTTTTGCCATGTTGCCCAGGCTGGTCTTGAACTCCTGGCCTCAGGTGATCCACCTGCCCCAGCCTCCCAAAAAGCTGGGATTACAGGTGTGAGCCACCATACTTGGCCATCTTTCATCTATTTTTGAGACAGGGTCTCAGTCTGTCACCCAGGCTAGAGTGCAGTGGTACAATCACAGCTTACTGCAGCCTCAAACTCCTGGGCTCAAGTGATCCTACCACCTTAGCTGCTGAATAGCTGGGACTACAGGTGCGTGACACCATACTTGGGTAATTTTTTAATTTTTCTAGAGATAAGGGTCTCACTATTGGCCAGGCTGGTCTTAAACTCCTGACCTCAGGTGATCTACCCGCCTTGGCCTCCCGAAGTGCTGGGATTACAGGTGTGAATCACCACACCTGGCCTATTTTTTCAATGACCATGATAGTTTTGCAGTGTACTGGTCAGATATTTTATAGAGTGTCCCTCAGTTTGGAGGTGTCTGATGCTTTCTTATGGTTAGGAGTAAAATGTGTTAGAATCTTCTCTAGCAGTCAGGTGTTGATCCTCGTGGTGTTGCTTAGATCTCTAGGTCCATGCATGCATGATTCTTCTGTGATGACCCAGGTGCCTGTTCTTTTTTTATAGGACATGTGCAAAGCTGCCACTGAGTCAGTGCCCTGCAGCCCCAGCCCCCTTGCAGGCGAGATTCGCCGTGGCACTAGTGGTGAGTCCTAACTATTCAGGCCTCTTTTCCTTGATTCTTTTACCCTGTCAGTGAAGGGGACACGTCTGGCTGTCCCATCCCTGCCCGTAATTTGCAAAGGTAGAAACAAAGCCATCGGAGGCACTCTTACTCTTCTCTTAGGGGAAAAAATAAACTGGGTAGTGAATGGGTATACACACAGTCAATTGTCATCCATAGTCGTTAATTTCTGTAAAGTCAACGTGTACACTTAGTGAATTCTTAGCTCCTAGACGAAATTCAGAGCAGTGGAGAATCCATTGCTCCTATGGAAAATACTAGGTTAGGTTCCTGCAAGCCCATAGTCAAATATATAGCTTTATTTTATGTGTGTCTCCTTTTAAAGGCACTGTAGTTAATATATAATGTTGATTTCAGTAACTGGGAACTTATAGCCAGCAACAGTGTAACTCATTCCTGCATGATGCTTATCTCACACACACGTTTTTTTTGATCAGGTACATCATACCCTTCTTGCATTTAGGAACCCAGACAGCACTTCAACACTATTTTTTGAGGGCCATTTTATTGATTGATTGATTGATTGATTGATTGAGCTGGAGTCTCTGTTGCCCAGGCTGGTGTACAGTGGCATGATCTTGGCTCACTACAACTTCCGCCTCCTGGGTTCAAGCAATTGTCTTGCCTCAGTCTCTCTAGTAACTGGGATTACAGGCGCCCGCCACCATGCCTGGCTAATTTTATTTTTAGTAGAGACAGGGTTTCGCCATGTTGGCTAGGCTGGTCTCGAACCCCTGACTTCAAGTGATCTGCCTGCCTTTGCCTCCCAAAGTTCTGGGATTATAGGCGTAAGCCACTGCTCCCGTCCGGGGGGCTATTTTAAACAGCAAAAATCACCAACAAAAATGTGAAAAATGTTCACATTCATGACATCAAGTAGACTGGGCAAAGGACTCTTGTTTATAGAGCAGGACCTGAAACAAGAGGGTGACAATGCCTTCTTTGTCCTCATTTGGAACATGTCTGGAGCAACTCAAAGTGTTCCCTGCGCGTGTCTGTGAATGACAGTGAAAGCACTGCCTGTATTGATTTTGGGGTTACAAATACATTTGAATGAGTAGGCAAATTTGCAAATATGGAATCTATGAATGATGAGTATTGACTGTATTTATTTTTTTATTCTTTATTTTTTTTGAGATGGAGTCTCACTCTGTTGCCCAGGCTGGAGTACAGTGGCGCGACATTGACTCACTGCAACCTCTGCCTCCCGGGTTTAAGTGATTCTCCTCCCTCAGCATCCTGAGTAGCTGGGATCTGCCACCACGCCCGGCTAATTTTTGTATTTTTGGTAGAGACAGAATTTCACCCTGTTGGCCAGGCTGGTCTTGAACACCTCAGGTGATCCACCCGCCTCAGCCTCCCAAAGTGCTGGCCTTATAGATGTGAGCCACCACTGTACCTGACCTTTTTTTTTTTTTTTTCTTGAGACAGAGTCTTGCTGTGTTGCTTACGTTGGAGTGCTATGGCACCCTCAGCTCACTGCAAACTCTGCCTCCCAGGTTCAAGTGATTCTTGTGCCTCAGTCACCCAGGTATCTGGCATTACACGTGTGTGCCACCATGCCCAGCCAATTTTTATATTTTTAGTAGAGACAGGGTTGTGCCACATTTGCCAGGCTAGTCTTGAACTCTTGATTTCAAACAATCCACCCGCCTCAGCCTCCCAAAGTGCAGGCATGAGCCACTGCACCTGGCTATATTTGGTTTTTAAAAGCTGTATGATACCATATATATATATATTTTTTGAGATGGAGTTTTCCTTTTGTTGCTCAGGCTGGAGTGCAATGGCGTGATCTTGGCTTACTGCAACCTCCACCTCCTGGGTTCAAGCGACTCTCCTGCCTCAGCCTCCTGAGTTGCTGGCATTATAGGTGCCTGTCACCATGCCCAGCCAATTTTTGTTATTTTTAGTAGAAATGAGGTTTTGCCATGTTGACCAGGCTGGTCTTGAACTCTTGACCGTAGGTGATCCACCTGGCTTGGCCCCTCAAAGTGTTGGGATTATAGCTGTTAGCCACCGTACCTGGCCGATACCTTTTTTAAAAATAAACTTTTAAATTTTAATATACACATTAGCTTCCCTTTGCTGATAAATAAGCCGCCCAAAACTGTACTTTAAAACACAGACATGTATTTTCATTTTTTGAGATGGGAATCTCGCTGTGTTGCCCAGGCTGGAGTGTAGTGGTGCAGTCATAGCTCACTGTAGCCTCAAAGTCCTGGACTCAAGTGATCCTCCCGCCTCAGGCTCCTGAATAGCTGGGATTACACACACAAGCCACCATGCCTTGCTAAAACATGAGTGTTTATTTCTCATGATTTTATGGATTGTCTGGTCAGTTCTGCTCTAGGCCAGCTCAGCTGATTTTAATGGTCACCTGGCAGCTAGGTTGAAGCCGGGTTGATGGCCGTATTCACATATCTGATGGTTGTCCTGATGTTATCTGGGCCCAGAGGGTGACTTGGCTACGTGTCCATAATTATCTAGCTGGCTAGCCTGGGCTTGTTCACAGAAGTGGTTGCAGGGTTCCTAAAAGCAGCAAAAGAGGGCTAGCCCGAGTGTGCAAAGCACCTCTTAAGCCACTGCTTGCACAACATTTGTTCTCGTCCTGTTGGCCAAAGCAAGTTACATGGAGAAGTCCAGAGTCATTGTGGGCAGGGCCTACCCAAAGATGTGGATGTAAAGAGGCTGAGCAAATTAGGGTTTGTTTCTGCAACACTCCCCCATAACATACATTCAGAAAAGGGTTCAATCATAATAGTACAGTGGGTACCTTTCACAGATGGGACACTCATGTAGCCAGCACCCACATCCAGCAACAGAAACATGACCAGCCTGCCAGAATCCTCCTGGACCCTCTCCCAGCCACCACATCTTCTCCAGGGTACCCACTACCCTGATTGCTAACAGCACACATTAGTTTTACCAGTCTTTCAAATCTTTATGAATGAAAATTTCAACTGGGTATGGTGGCCCATGCCTTTAATCCCAGCACTTTGGGAGGCCCAGATGGGAAGATCACTTGAAGCTAGGCGTTTGAGACCAGACTGGGCAACATAGTGAGACCCTGTCTCTACAAAAATTGGTAAATTAGCTGTGGGAGGCCTGGGAGGCTGAGGTGGGAGGATTGCTTGAGCCCAGGACTTTGAGGCTGCAGTGAGTTATGATGGCAACACTGTACTCCATCATCCTGGGCAACGGAGTGAAACCCTGTCTCAAAAAAAAAAAAAAAAAAAAAAGAGGGCCGGGCGCGGTGGCTTACGCCTGTAATCCTAGCACTTTGGGAGGCCGAAGCGGGTGGATCACGAGGTCGGGAGATGGACACAATCCTGGCTAACATGGTGAAACCCCGTCTCTACTAAAAATACACAAAAAAATTAGCCAGGCGTGGTGGCGGGCGCCTATAATCCTAGCTACTTGGGAGGCTGAGGCAGGAGAATGACATGAACCCAGGAGGCGGAGCTTGCAGTGAGTGGAGATCGTGCCACTGCACTCCAGACAGGGGCGACAGAGCCAGACTCTGTCTTAAAAAAAAAAAAAACACGAGAGAAAATAAAATAAGTAAATGAGAAGGGGAAACAAGCAAAGAAGGAAAGGGGTGGGAAGTGCTCCAAAAACAACATTCCTGAGATCACTTTTACACACGTTAGAACATCGAATGTGTGTCTGTCAGGAGGGGGAAAAAGAACAGTTCTTTGTACTCTGATATCCTGACTGCAACTCAAATGCAACAGAGTAAAGACAGAGTTGGTTGCTTAACCGCCACCCAAATGGGGCTTGCCTGTCATGACAATAAAGCATCACATTCCTGACATCTTTTCAGCTGCACATTTCCCTCTGGGTACAGCACGAGAGGCAGGGCCCTCTTAACAGCTTGCTTTTTATAGCAGAAAATGCTGCTCTTATTGCACTCAGCTAGGTAAAGAGTGTTGCGAATGGAGGCTCTCACAGGACAGATTCTGCATAGCCAGGGAGTTTGCAGCCACTAGACATAAAGCCTCCTATCCAACCTGAGAGATGTCTGAAGAAGCACTGGGGTATATCATTAACAGAGGAGAAAGAACAGGCCTGAAAACCAAGAATTGGCCGGTGTGGTGGCTCACGCCTGTAATCCCAGCACTTTGGGAGGCCGAGGCGGGTGGATCATGAGGTCGGGAGATTGAGACCATCCTGGTTAACACAGTGAAACCCCGTCTCTACTAAAAATACAAAAAATTAGCCAGGCGTAGTGGTGGGCACCTGTAGTCCCAGCTATTCGGGAGACTGAGACAGGAGAGTGCTGTGAACCCAGGAGGCGAAGCTTGCAGTGAGCCGAGATCGCACCACTGCACTCCAGCTTGGGCCACAGAGTGAGACTCTGTCTCAAACAACAACAGCAACAATAAAAACCACCAAGAATGTCTTCCTGCAGAGAGGGAGGAGGTCTGATAGGGAAGGATCTGTCCTGGGACTTCTGGGTTCCAATAACATCCTGATGCCTGACCTGGGTGATGGGTACTTGGGGGTCACGTTTTGTTAAATGGTCTGTGATGGTTTAGTGTAGTTTTCTTTCTTTTTTTTTTTTTTTCCTCCTTTTTTTGAGACTGGGTTTCTCTCTGTTGCCCAGGCTGGAGTGCAGTGGTGCGATCACAGCTCACTGCAGCCTTGACCTCCGGGGCTCAAGTGATCCTCTTGCCTCAGCCTCCTGAGTAGCTGGGACTACAGGCACATGCCACTGCACCTGGCTAATTTTTTTGTATTTTTGGTAGACACGGGATTTTGCCATATTGCCCAGGCTGGTCTTGAACTGGGTTCAAGTGATCCACCCACCTCAGCCTCCCAAAGTACAGGGATTACAGGCATGCGCCCTTGTGCCTGTCCTCAGAAACCACTTTAGGCACTGGGATACAGCAGTAAACAGACACGGCCTCCTTGTGGAGCTTGCCTTCTTGTGAGTGAGTTTACCAGTAAACAAATAGAGTTTAATGTCAAGCAGTTGTGAAGGCCGTGAAGAAAATAAAAGTGGATAAGGGTGATAGAGGTTGAGGAGGTGCTGTTTTTAATGGGGTGGTCAGGGAAGTTTTCTCTGAGGAGTTGCCATCAGAGAGGAGGCCTGAATGATGAGACGCAGCAATCCTGCTGTGCTCGGGGAACTGCATGCCAGGCAGAAGGAACAGCAGGGTCCCTGAGGAGGCTCCTGCTTGCTGGGTGAGGAAGATCCTGGAGACCAGCATAGCTGAAGCAGCTCTGGGAGGGGCGAAGTGAACTCAGCACGAGGCTGGGTGACTGATGGGTAAGGTGTGATGGAAACTAGTGTGGTCTAGAGCCTCAGGAAAGACTCCCAGGGTAGGGAGAGATGGGCTAGTTCCTGGGGAGATGCAGCCCACCCTGCCCCCAAGCATCCCCATCACGAGGACCATGCAGCCACAGGTGACACCTGCTGACCTCATTCAGCCCCAAGCCTCACCTTCTCCATCCGGACCCTGAGACTGCTGGATTGAGGCCTGTCTTCCAGGCCCCAACCCCACTGGGCTCTCCTTTTCTCCCCACAGCTGCCTCCCGAATGATCACCAACAGCCTGAACCATGACTCCCCACCCAGCACACCCCCCAGGCGCCCAGACACCAGCACCTCCAAGATCTCGGTCACTGTGTCCAACAAGATGGCAGCAAAGAGTGCCAAGGCCACTGGTGAGGGAACACGGGCAGGAGGGTAGGAGGAGCTGGAGGGGGACATGGGTTGGTAGGAGGTGCTGGGGGTCATGCTTCCAATATTGTAAAGTGCTTTGAAGGCCACAAGGTATACAAAGCATTTGAACCTGAATCACCTCTGTAAACTTGGTCAAGTTGCCATACATCTGTGGGCCTCACTTTCTACGTCTGTAGCATGGAGGGTGGCGATACCCCACCCAGGAGGATGGACAGAAGCACCTGAGTTGGTGTGCTGAGGCGTGTGTGCATTGCCTTCTCACTCAGGGGTTCAGGATTTGTGAACAAGTGTTCACCGAGCCCCCAGCTTGTGCCCAGCTCTGTGCTTGATGCCTGGGGTCAAAGGTAAAGAACCTCTTGCCTCCTCTTAGCAGCCAAGGGATCCTTTAAACCCTTTAGTCTGATCCTGTAACCCCGTGGGCTGTAATTCTCTGGGGCTCCCCATTATTCCAGTAATAAAGGGCATCTTCCCCACACGGTCTGTAGGGCCCTACATCATGTGGATTCATCTCTTGCATCGCCCCACTTTGCATGCCCACTTGCTCCCCTCCAGCCTCCTTCCCATCATGGGGCGTTTGCCCCTGGTGACCCCTCGGCCTGATCACTCTTCCTCCCCAGACTGCTCCATGTTGGCCTCTGTCCTCCTCCAGGTCTCAGCTTGAGAGCTGGGAATGGGCCTGCAGTCCCTGGGCTCCCAAGCCTTTCCATCCACCATGCTTTTATGCCTTTGCTGGACCCATCCCCACAGCAATGACTTCATGGTGTCATAAGGCAAATGTAGAAATTGAGGCCCAGGGCACTTCATGTTTCTGACATCCACTACCATCACGCCCCGTGCACCTCCATCACAACATCTCCCCTTTGTCCTGCAGGTTTGGAAATGCCTCACTGTCTTCTGGCCTTTGATTTGTGTGCCACGAGCAAAAAAGTTAAAATCAGGCTGGGTGTGGTGGCGCATACCTGCAATCCCAGCACTGTGAGAGGCTGAGGCAGGAGGATCCCTTGAGCCCAGGAACTCAAGACCAACCTGCACAAGATGACAAAACCCTGTCTCTACATTAAAAAAAAAATAAATAAATAGGCCGGGCGTGGTGGCTTACACCTGTAATCCCAGAACTTTGGAAGGCCGAGGCAGGTGCATCACCTGAGGTTGGGAGTTTGAGAGCAGCCTGACCAATGTGGTGAAACCCCATGTCTACCAAAAATACAACAATTAGCTGGGCGTGGTGGCGCATGCCTGTAATCCCAGCTACTTGGGAGGCTGAGGCAGGAGAATCAAATTTAGGAGGTAGAGGTTGTAGTGAGCTGAGATCGTGCCATTGCACTCCAGACTGGGCAACAAGAACGAAAACTCGGTCTTAAAAAAAAAAAAAAAAAATGTTAAAATCAGTGTAACAAAGTATTGCGAAGATGGTGAGCCCGGGAACAATTGGCTCTTTTAACCCTTAACACGTTTGGGGGGATTCATTTTTTAAGTTGAGGTGTAACTTATGCACAATCCACCACTCATAAGTGTACACACAGCTCAAGTGCTTGTTGAAAAGTGAGTGCAGCCATAAAGCACTGCCTGCTTGGAGCTCTAGAACCTTTCCACCACCCAGCAGGTTCCCCATCCGAGGGGACATGGGCTGGGCTGGGCCAGGAGCCTGCTTGGAACAGGGACAGAGCCACAGAAAGCCTGGGAGGCCTGCCACAGCCTGGGGTCCTGGGGATTCTGAGCGCCTTCTGTGACCTCATGTTGCGCAGACCTGAGTTTCTCAGTGGTTCAGTCAGTGGTGATGTGGGTGGTTGGGAAGATAAGGGATTCTAGTCGTGAATGTGTGGAGATAAAGGATACCTAGTGTCCAGCCTCCATCCTGAGAGAACGTTTTGTCTCAAAGAGTGCTGATACCCCTGCTTTATTCCCCCAGCAGCCCTGGCCTGCCAGGAGGAGGAGAGCCTGGCTGTTCCTGCCAAGCGGCGCCGGGTCACTGCTGAGATGGAGGGGAAGTACGTCATCAACATGCCCAAAGGCACCACACCCCGCACCCGCAAGATCCTGGAGCAGCAGCAGGCTGCAAAAGGTACTGGCCCATCAGGGGCACACTTCCCTGTGGGGACCATGTCCCTCCCTCTGCATCACACAGGGCCCGTCATATCTTACAGCAGCTGAGAAGCAGGCTTTAACAGGGATGCAGGAGCCACAGGCCAAGGGAACAGTGATGGTGGCCACAGAGGAGGGAAATACATCACCTCTGCCCTCTGATCCTGCAGTTAGTGTAGCTGGTCTCCTTGGCACCTCTTCCCTAGGGGGCAGGAGCAAGGATGGAGTGATAGTCTGCTGTAAAATAAGTGGATGTGCTTGGCCAAGGGCAGTTATCCCAAAGTGGCACCATTGCTATGAGCCAGAGGAGACGAGTGGAGATACAGTCCAAAGCTAGGCCTTGTGACTTGGAGTACAGAGATAATCTCTTGGCTGGGCGTGGTGACGCACACACCTGAATCCCAGCCCTTTGGGAGACTGAGGTGGGAAGACTGCTTGAGCCTAGGAGTTCAAGCATGCCACATAGTGAGCCCCCGTCTCTATTAGAAAGGCTGGGCGCAGTGGCCCATGCCTGTAACTCCAGCACTTTCAGATGATGCAGAAACGTATTCAGTAAAAACAAACTCTTTTCCCTCACTCCCATATCCTTGTCTCTTGTTAACCTTTCCAGACCAGCATCTATGTACATACATATACACATATATAGGCAGTTTTTTGTTTTTTAGTTTTAGTTTTTATTTTTTTGAGACAGGGTCTCACTTCATCACCCAGGCTGGGTTACGGTGAGTGGCACCTTATCGACTCGCTCCAGTCTCCTCGACCTCCCAGGTTCAAGTAGTCCTGCCTCAGCCTCCTGAGTAGCTGGGACTACAGGCACATGCCACCACGCCCACCCAATTTTTGTATTTTTTGTAGAGATGGGATTTTGCCATGTTGCCCAGTCTGGTCTTGAACTCCTGAGTTCAAGTGATCTGCCTGCTTCACCTTTCCAAATTGCTAGGATTACAAGTGTGAGCCATTGCACTCAGCCTAGTTTTTCTTTTTTAAACACAAATAGCATTTGTGTTTAAAATGTCAGTATTGTTTTACAACTTTTTTGTTTTTTTTTTTTTGAACCGGAGTCTTGCTCTGTTACCCAGGCTGGAGTGCAGTGGCACAGTCTCGGCTCACTGCAACTTCCGCTTCCTGGATTCAAGCAATTCTCCTGCCTCAATCTCCCAAGAAGCTGGGATTACAGGTGCGCGCCACCACGCCTGGCTAATTTTTATATTTTTAGTAGAGATGGGGTTTCATCATGTTGGCCAGGCTGGTCTCAAACTCCTGATCTCGGGTGATCCACCTGCCTCGGCCTCCCAAAGTGCTGGAATTACAGGCGTGAGCCACTGTGCCTGTACTTAACTTTTCTTGTTTTTCTTTTTTTTTTTTTCTTTGAGACAGAGTGTTGCTCTGTTGCCTGGGCTGGAGTGCTGTGGTACGAACACGACTCACCGCCTCGACCTCCTGGGTTCCTACCTTACCTCCCCAGTAGCAGGGACTATAGATGTGGGTCACCATGCCCAGCTAACTTTTAAATTCTGATTTCTAACTCTTAGGCTCATGCGATCTGCCCACCACTGCCTCCCACCGTGTTGGGATTACAGACATAAGCCACCACTCCTGGCCTGTTCTATAACTTTTTTGTTCATATATATATATTTAGAGATGGGGTCTCACTATATTACCCAGGTTGTTCTCAAACTCCTGGGCTCAGGTGATCCACCTGCCTCAGCCTCCCAAACGGATTACAGGTGCACCTTACCACGCCTGGCCCATGTTCTGTAACTTTTTTGTTGAGATCTTCTCATATTAATGCAGGTAGATCTTCTTCATTCTTTTTTTAATGGTGGTTTATTATTTCCAGAGTATTTATATACCATAATTTAGTAACCATTCTATTGATGGCTATTAGGTTATAATTTAGGGGAGGAGGCACTACTGCTCATCGGATTCTCTCAAAGGTCCCTGACCCCAAGAAGTGAAAGGAACATGCAGGGACTAAGAACCCTTCCTGTGCACATAAGTCATGAGCTAGTGCTGAGGTGTAGGGAATCTGCCAGTTGTAGCTGGTCTTTCCCACATTTGACTCGAGCCAGATAGGGCTGGGTTAAGGTCAGTGTGAACCAACAGTGTAGACATAACACCCAACTCAGCACAGTCTGGCCCTGCCTGTCCCGGAGCTACTGGTATCTGGGCTGCCTTGGTATCTGTACAGAGCTCAGCCTAGGCCTGGCCCACCAGGGCCTCTCCCTGATGGCTTCACTTCCCTCCCAGGTCTCCACAGGACGTCTGTGTTTGACCGCCTCGGCGCCGAGACCAAGGCAGACACCACAACGGGAAGTAAAGTGAGTGGGGATGGGGGAGCGATCCTGGGCGTGCGAGCTCTTGTCTTCCCTGAGCGGTGCTCCTGACTCTTAACACATCTTGACCTCACTCAGCCCAGGGCTGTCTAACCTTCCTTTCCAGCCTCAGTTCCTGGCTTTGCACTGGTGGCTTTCCCGTCTGTCTTCTGCCCTGGCTTCTCTCCCAATTTCCAGCCCTGGGGGTCCAGTGACTCCTGGATGCCTCACACCCACCATGTCCCCAACTGGTCTTAGCGTCTTTCCCCAAGTTAGTCCTCTCCTGGGCTCCCATCTGAGGGCTGCCTGCCCTCCCCATTGCAGTCTGTCAGTGGGTCTGATGACTCTACTGTTCTCTCCCTCCTCTGCCACTCTCCCTGTCCGGATAGGATGATAGCCTCTTGAACGGTCTCGCACAGCTACCATGGACCCCAGCCCCCTATCCCCAGAGCAGCAGCAGTGTGTGCAGCCCACAGGACAGGGCCTTTCCCCCAACTGGAAGCCCTGCAGAGGCTTTTCACTGTGCCCATGATGCAGCCTGCACTTCCTGCCACGGCCTGCAGTTCCACAGGCCCCAGGCATGGTGTGTAGTTCAGAGTACACCCTGAAGCCCACAGGGGCCTGACTGCGTGGCTTTGGCCATGTCACTTAGGTCCTTTGTACTTCAGCCTCCTCATCTGTATAGACCCACCTCCAAGGACGGCTGTAGGGTTAAGATCATCCCTGCATGGTGCTGGGCTGTGCGGTGCCTGTTGGTGAACTATTGCAGAGCTCCCCAGCTGTGTTTCCTGCCTGCCAGTGTCCTGCTCCACAGGGTGCAGCAACTCTGGCTTGCTCACTTCCAAGAATCTTACCATGAGGAGGATGGGAACACTCGGGATCATGTGGCTGGAAGTTCCAGCCCTATGAAGAACTGGGCACATAGTGAGTGCTCAATACATAGGATTATGCTTCCTGCCTTCAGGGCAAAGCGCATGCTCTTTTCTTTGCTAATTCATCTTGGAGGGCCTGGCTTCAAAGTTGGTGCCTCAGGGAAAGTTCCTTTGGACTGATGAGGAGCCACCCCTGTCTTCTGCCCTCCAGCTCTCCTTCTCCGTCTAGAAGGCGTTACTGTTGTTCTTGCAGAATTATTTGTGTCATTTCTGATGCCAAGCCTGTCTTCCCCACTGGACTATGAGCCCCATGAGGGCAGAGCTGAGGCTGTCTTGGTCATCACTGTGTCCCTAGCACTGCTGGCCTAGGACCAGGTACAATATAGAGTTGGGACTCAAAATATCTGTGGAGTGAATGACCAGATTAATCTCTCCACTCCAATCATGCCCACCTACTGACCTTGCAAATGACCTTCCCTTTGTGTGGCATTCCCGTCGTCTTCCCTCTTTATTAGAGCCACTTCCAGCTCAGATGTCCCCTCTCTCAGGGAGCCCTCCCTGAACTTCTAGGAAGGTCAGGTACTTCCTCTGGGCTCCTCCAGTCCCCTGGACTCCCCACTTCGTGGCTCTCGCCACTATCTGGGGTGTCAGTGATGGGTGTTTCTCCCAACTGTGAGTCCCAGGAGGCCAGGCACAGAGGAAGCAGCTCTCCATGAATGTGTGTTGAGTGACTCAGTGACTCATTCATCCTGTCTCTGACCTCTACAGCCCACAGGAGTCTTCAGCCGCCTGGGGGCCACCCCAGAAACGGACGAGGATCTGGCTTGGGACAGCGACAATGACAGCAGCAGCTCTGTCTTGCAGTATGCCGGGGTCCTGAAGAAGCTAGGACGGGGCCCAGCCAAGGCCAGTCCCCAGCCAGCACTGACTGTCAAAGCCAAGGCCACGAGCTCGGCGACAACGGCCGCTGCCCCGACACTGCGGCGCCTGGCGCTTTCCTCACGGTCCGGGCTTGAGAGGAAGCCGGAGTCCTTGTCTAAAGTCAGCATCATCAAGAGACTGGGCGCAGCTACCCTTGTGCCCGAGGCCCAGGACAGCCAGGTCACCAGCACCAAGAGTAAGTCCTCAGCTGAAGTCAAGGTCACCATTAAGAGGACTCTGGTGGGGCCCCGGGGGAGCAGCTCCAGCGAGGGCCTTGGTGCCCAGATGGACCACGCGGGCACTGTGAGCGTGTTCAAAAGACTGGGCCGCAGGACCTTCTAGCCCACGTGTGGGCGGGGTGCAGGCAGCAGAGCCCGTGGGCATCTGCCCTGGCCGCCCCAGGCTCCTGGCTTCATCACGCCTCCCACCAGCTCCTGGATGACACAACTTGTCTCCCTCGGGCTCTAGAGCTAGGCCCGAGCATTCGGGGGATCACCCCATTTCTCCTAGCCTGGGATGGTCGTTGCAGCTGGCCTGGCCCGCTCCAGGACTCCCCTTCTCTCATGTCCTCTTTGCTTTCTTCTCTGGCTGTGGCCTTGGCAGAACCCACTTTTCTACCTCTCCCAAGTGCCAGGGGCCCTCTTCCTCTCCTATATTCCCCTTCCTCCCCTGAGCACGGTCTGCTGCCTCAGACCCCAGCTTATCAGCCCTCCCTGCCCCCCTCAACTGAGTGGGTGTCACCTGGAGGGCCTCCCTTCCCCCACTCCCCACTGACCTCCCTCATTCCTCTGCGCCTCTGCTGTGACTTCTCTCTCTCCCTGTCTTCACTCTGTTCATTTCTCTTCTATTTTCTGTCCCCGTGGCAAGGCCCGACTGTCTGCTGCGTCCTGCCCGACCCTCCTGTACCTCCGGCCTCCCAGCGGCCCCCTCGTCGGCGGTGGCGTCGAGCCTGTTGAGACTGTTAGCCGCCCTCCACTCCCAGGCTGGAGGGACCTCTCCAGACCCTGGGCTGCGGTCGAGGCGCATCCGTTTTCCTGCCCTGGGCGTCTTTGTCTCTGAAAGTCTATGGCGGGTGGTGGGCAAGGGGCACTGAGAAGGGAGGCCAGTGCCTAGAGTGAAGACAGCTGCTGTTTTAATATATTTTTTGTGACTTTCAAATCATTTCCCCCCCTCCTTCAGGGTGAGTTGCAGGACTGTTTTACACTATGCGCAGTGTGGGCTGGGGATGCTGGCAAAGGGTTGGGCTGTGTCTCTAAAGGTCAGGCTTCCTGCACACACGTGGCCCATATCCCTGCTGCAAGCCCTGAGTCGAGAGGAGTAATGGCCACAGTCACCATTCAGTTAGGCCGCCCCCACCCCCAATAAGCCGTAGTGGTTCTTTCTTCACTCTGTCCCCTCCCCCCATGAATTTCACCTGCCTCTGCCACTCTGCCTGTTGGCATCTTTCCAAATGATGGGCTCCGTTTGTGAGACCAGAAATTTCCACTGGTTTGGTCGCTCACCTCTCCCTGCTGCACAGTGCCCCTGAGTCAGGCCTGTCCTAGGAGCTGGTAGCAGGCAGTGAGCAGGGCCTCTCCAGGGATGGGGTGTAGGTAAAGCAGTGGTGCTGGCCAAGGAATCCGAGGAGTGGGAGAAAGTGGCCAGGGCCCCTTCAGGGGTTGGGGACAGGAAGGCCTTTCAGAAGAGGTGACATGGAGGCTGAGCTGGGAATGTGGCTTCATGAAGTTCAGGAGGAGAGCTTTCAGGCAGACAGCCAGCCAGGGGCAGAGGTGCTGAGGTGGGAAAACAAACAGGAAGAAGGCTGATGGCTGTGAGTGAGGGTGGGTCCTGCGTCCATCACGAGGCAGAGGTGGGTGGGCAGGAGCTAGGTGGCTGGGGACATCGTGACCAAGGTGGAAGAATGTGCACAGTGACCCAGGAGTGCTGGATCGGGAGGATTTGGAGCTGGGGTGTGCTGAGCTGAGTTTCGTTTAGGAGCATCGCTCCGGCTTCTTCGAGGAGAAGGAACGGCTGGGAGGGCTGGGGCGGTGGCCACTGCAGCAGTCCGGGCAGGAAGCCAGGGCGGCTGTGCGAGGGCGTGGCGGTGGGAGCAGGGAGGAGGGCTGCTTGGGCTGCTTAGGGTGTGCTTTGGAGGAAGAGCTGTGGGATGTGCTGATGTGTTGGAAGTTGGGACCAGAGAAGATGAGAATCACAGGGCCCACCTAGATATTAGACCCGAGCATCTGGGGGAACAGCTGTTAACAGAGAAGGGGAGACAGGAGGAAGGAGCAGGTCAAGGAGGAGGGAGCTGTGTTCTGACCACATTGTGCCTTTTAGGGTCCACACTGGGGCTCAGGGGGACACCTGGACTGGGGGTTCATGGCTGCTGACAGTGTGCAGGGTACAGCTGGAATCAAAGCCAAGGGCCTTGGTTGGGCGTAGTGGCTCATGCTTGTCATCTCAGGACTTTGGGAGGCCGAGGCAGGTGGATCACGAGGTCAGGAGTTCGAGACCAGCCTGGCCAAGATGGTGAAACCCCGTTTCTACTAAAAATACAAAAATTAACCGGGTGTGGTGGCAGATGCCTGTAATCCCAGCTACTCAGGAGACTGAGGCCGGAGAATCGCTTGAACCCGGGAGGCAGAGGTTGCAATGAGTTGAGATCGTGCCACTGCACTCCAGCCTAGGCAACAAGAACGAGACTCTATCTTAAAAAAAAAAAAAAAAAAAAAAAAAAAAAAGCCAAGGGCCTGGTAATACCAGCTGGAAAGGGAACATAGAGATTGGAGGGGACCCAGGATGGAATCTGGGGCCCTTTCCCTGTTTAGAGAACAGGATCTGACAAAAAGAGACAGCCTAGGAAAGGTCGGGGGTTGGAGGAGAACTAATGAGAGAGCAGGTAAAGATGAGACTAGATCTCATCCGTTTATTTTCGTTGTGGGAAAATATACATCTTGTGAAATTTACCATTTTTACCATTTTATTTTTATTGTTTATTTTTTTTTGAGATAGAGTTTTGCTGTTGTTGCCTAGGCTGGAGTGCCATGGCGTGATCTTGGCTCACTGAAACCTCTACCTCCTGGGTTCAAGCGATTCACCTGCCTCAGCCTCCCTGGTAGCTGGGATTACAGGCGCCTGCCACCACTCCCAGCTAATTTTCGTATTTTTAGTAGATGGGGTTTCACTATGTTGGCCAGTCTGGTCTTGAAGTCCTGACCTCAGGTGATCCGCCCACTTCAGCCTCCCAAAGTGCTGGGATTACAGGCGTGAGCCACCACGCCTGGCCCATTTTGACCATTTTAAACTGTACCGTGCAGGGCATTAAGTACATTCACACTGTTGTGTGCCCATTACCACCATCCATCTCCAGAACTTCTTTCATCTTCCCCAAATCCATTCTTTTCAGTTTTTCAGTTATGTCGTATTGGAGACCCACTGTGTGTCACGCAGCGTCCCAGGTACTGGGGATGGGCTGTGAAGGGCCAGACTTCAGGATGAGGGACAGCTGTAGAGAGCAGTGATAGGCCCCTTTCCCTGTGGGGTCCCAGGCTAGACCCTCCTGAGACTGGCTGAGGCCTGACCTCAAAGGATGGCAAATGCTGGCCCTCAGATTCCAGGGGCCACCCCTTCAGGTCACTGCCACCAGGAGGAGCTCACACATGCACACTTCCCCTGCTGAGCTTCAGCCTTCTTTGTTTCCTAATAATTTCCTCTGATCCCACTTCATGCATAATTTTAACAACGGCACCAGGCGCGGTGGCTCAAGCCTGTAATCCCAGCACTTTGGGAGGCCGAGACAGGCAGATCACGAAGTCAGGAGATCGAGACCATCCTGGCTAACACGGTGAAACTCCGTCTCTACTGAAAAATACAAAAAACTAGCCAGGCGAGGTGGCGGGCGCCTGTAGTCCCAGCTACTCAGGAGGCTGAGGCAGGAGAATGGCGTAAACCCGGGAGGCGGAGCTTGCAGTGAGCTGAGATCCGGCCACTGCACTCCAGCCTGGGTGACAAAGTGAGACTCTGTCTCAAAAAAAAAAAACATTTTTAACAACGGCTGGGGTGAACTGGAAGAGTTCCAGTTGCTAAATTTAAGAGCCATGGTAATTTCTCAATGTTTAATAGGAACTGCAATGATATAAAAACATATGTAGGTCATTTACCACATAGGGCTTAGCTGTGCCAGGGAGATTCTCTTATTGTTGTGCTTTACAGAGGCACAGAGAGGGGAGTTAACTACTGAAGGCCTCACCCAGCCGGCGGGTGGCAGGACTGGGTTTGACCCCAGGGAGCAGACTTCAGGATCCATGGCCCTTAATCCCTACCCTGTGCTGCCTTTTAAAATTTTTTATTTTATTTTATATTTTATGGAGATGAGGTCTTGCTTTGTACCCCATGCTGGTCTCGAACTCCTGGGCTCAAGTGATCCCCTCTCCCTGGCCTCCCAAAGTGCTGGGATTACAGGCATGAGCCACTGCTCCCAGCCACCTGCGCTGCCTTGATTGCAGATTTGAAACAGCCCTTTTGGAGAAGGCAGGACAGGGTCTTAAGACAGTGATTTTGGACCTAGAATGGTGGCTCATGCCTGTAATCCTAGCACTTTGGGAGGCTGAGGCAGGCGGATCACTTGGAAGTCAGGAGTTCGGGACCAGCCTGGCCAACATGGCAAAACCCCATCTCTACTAAAAATACAAAAATTAGCCCGTGTGTTTGTGTACCCTTGTAACCCCAGCTACTTGGGAGACTGAGACACGAGAATCACTTGAACCTGGGAGGCGGAGGTTACAGTGAGCAGAGATCACACCACTGCACTCCAGCCTGGGTGACAGAGTGAGACTGTCTCAAAAAAAAAAAAAAAAGACAGTGGATTTGGCTTTGGACTTTCTAGAGTTGTCCATGTGTAGATGTCTGCACCAACCCTATTGGCCTGTCCTAGGAAGCGTTTGCAGCTCAGATGATGCAGGCCTTGAGAGCCACATCCTTGTGACCTGAGCCGATGCCTCCTCCACTTCCCAGCTACTCCGGAGTCACAGTGGCCCACCCGTTATACATTTGACTTGGCAGTTCTCCCACACTTGCCCCAACAGCTGTGACCCACAGGGGTAGATTTTTTTTCCCCCCGACTCTATTAAGCACTTTTTACTTTTAGTTTTTTAGAGACAGGGTCTTTCTATGGTGCTCAGGCTGGTCTCAAACTCCTGGTCTCAAGTGATTCTCCCATCTCAGCCTCCCAAAGTGTTGGGATTACAGGCATGAGCCACCATACCCTGTCTGTTAGGCATTTTTGAGCATAAATAATACATTCACAGCCACGTTTGGTGGCTCGTGCGTGTATTCCCAGCTACTTGTAAGGCTGAGGTGGAAGGATCCCTTGAGCCCAGGAGGTTGAGGCTGCAGTGAGCTGTGATTGCACCCCTGCACGCCACCTGGGCAACAGAGCAAGACTCTGTCTCAGGGAAAAAAAAAAAAAAAAGAAAAAATTAAGAATACATTCACATGGTTCAAAATGCAAAAGACACAAAAGTCTCTACAGTGAAAAGTATCTTCCCACCACCTCTCCTAGCCCCCTAGTCCCTTCCTCAGAGGCTACCAGTGTTACCAATTTCTTGTGTAATCTTTCCAGTGAAGTACACACACACATACACACGCACAAACACACAGCAGAACAGCATGTAGGACCCATGTACAAGCATACACGTGTCTTAGCAGTCTAATTTATTTAACCAATTCCTGTTTGAAGGAAATTCAGGTTGTTTCCAACCTCATGCTATTACAAGTAGTCCTAGAACGAACAACTTTCCTTACACATGGGATCAATTCAGGGGTGAATTTGAAGAACATATTATTACATTACATTATTTAAGTGCAAATACTGATAATGAGTCCATTGCAGATCTGAACTAGCCTCTCCTCCAAGATGATTGACGTCCTTCAGGTGATTTATTTACACAGTGACCACCCCATTTCATAAAGGAAGTTGGACTCTTCAGTTGGAGACTGCTGGGTCAGGGGATGCTGAGAGCTAACGTTGACTACCACCTGTGTGCCAGGAAGTGCCAAATCAATGCTTGGCCAAGTTGTTGGACTTGTTGAATCCTGAGGGCAACACCATGAAAGGCAGGGTCTTCCTATTCTTGTCCCATAAACAGATGAGGAAGGCTGGGCGCAGTGGCTCACGCCTGTAA